CCCCAAAACCCCAAAACCCCAAAACCCCAAAACCCCACGCTTTTTTAACTATAAAATTCAAGTAGAATAATTTTGTTGTAATTTGTTAATTAAACACTTAATTTAAAGAATATAAAAACTTTGATTTAACTCTATAGAACAACATCATAGTATTTACTAGCTTAATAGCGAAAAACGTCTCATTCATCGATGCCTCCTTGATTAAATCCTTGAGCAGTTTGATATGGTTTAGAATTCACACGATCTGTTGGAGAGAATTTATTGGATGCACTCATTTATCCTTTGGAATTCTGGTCAAGACCTCCACCACCAATAACATTAGTCTTAGGTCTGCTACTCTGAGATTGAGTGTTCATTCCGATATTACTTCCCAAATCAACATTTGATTGAGGCTTGCCAGTATTTGAATTGGCATTAAGCATATGGGTCAAGATATCTTTTGTATATTTGAGTCTCTTGACCATTTCCAAGTTGGCTGATTCCATCGCACTGCTTAGAGGATAGGTACTTCTCTCTCCTTTTTTATTCACATATGTTACTACTTTTGTTTCACTTGAGAGCATGATTTCTGTATGATCTTGGAAATTAACTTATACTACTTTGTTAGATAGTCTAAACATTATAGCATGTCTAGTTCTCATCCACTTTTTAACATACACGACATCCTTTACTTTTCTCTCAGGAAGGATGCCATCCTCATTGACGGGCACTTCATTGGGCTTTGGTTTCTCACTCCCTTCAAGGTAACTTCTAAAATGTTGTAGGAGAGTAACTTTCTTCTGGAGTTCTTTTGGATATTCAGTAAGAGTACATTCTTTGCCTATATCCTATCTATCGCTATTACGTCTTTCATAATAGTCAAAGTGATAGCCATTAGGATCAAGGACAATTTTTGTTGAGTCATTGAAGAACACACCAGTAACTTCATTTGACAAGTAATAGCCTAGTCCATACTTTGATGAATAGTCTACCCACTTTTTAACCCAAACTTCAGCCTCTAATTAGTCTTTGTAATTTCTATTAGAGCCATCCTTTGCTACTGTTACTGGTGTTTTACTTCCTTAAATAGGTTGGGATGATAGTCTGTCAGTAGCGATCTTTTTATCTCTACCTGAGAGCAGCTCATTATTTTTAATAGGTGCTGTGCTGGCAAGGTTTTACTGCCCGATAGTACTTTTACTATTTTAGTTTTGACTTTATGGCAAAAATTATCTGATATAGGTTGATGAAGGAGGACAAGCCAATGTTGAAGCTGGTAGCAATCTTGGAATAGTACCCCCATGATTTATAAATTCGTGATTCAGAATCTCATCTACAGTAGGTCTCTTTGCAGGATCATTATTTAGAATCTTAGTAATGAGATCTCTAGCAGCATCAGAAATAGGTACATTCTCTGGGAAAGTATAAGCATTCATTCTAATTCTTTTATAAGTAGTCTTCACGTCAGAAGTCTCAAAAGGAGGTTTTCCAATAATTAGAGTATAAATTATTACTCCAAGTGACCAAATATCTACTTCATAAGAGTGGCCTTGTTTACCCTCAAGGACCTCAGGAGCGATATAATTAGGTGTTCCGCAAATAGTTCTCTTCCTCTCTCCATCGAACTCTAGCTTAGTGGCTAAACCAAAGTCTCCGATTTTTACTTCCATCTTGTCGTTTAGGAACAAGTTACCTAGCTTGAGATCTCTATGTATAACTCTATGACTGTGAAGGTACTTGACTGCTGCGCAAATTTAATTTACATAGCACTGTGCTTCTAGCTCGTGTAGCCTCTTTCTCCTTCTAAGAAGTTCATTTAGTGATTGATTGTGACATAATTCTAGCAAGATATATACATTTTCAGCATCCTCGAAGAAGTGCTCGAAACCAACAATATTGTTATGATGCAAACTCCTGTGAATTTTAATTTCACTCATCAACTTCTACTTTGCTCTTGACTTGGTAAGAGAGGTCTTTGCGATAACCTTAGCTGCGGATAGTCTTTTTGTTTCTAAATATGTAAGCTCGTAGCACTTAGCGAATCCTCCTTTTCCCAAAAACTTTCCTCTGAGATATTTCTTGATACATACGTCTCCATTGAACTTGACAACTTTTTCCTCGACAATAACCTGGGCATTATCCTGGGTTAAATTATCTTTACTTCTTGAACTTTGTGGCTTTTAAGACATTTCAAATTGATCTTTATTGAAAGATGAACAAATGTTTTATGTTTCTGATTTTTTAATATAAGAATAAATATTATTTAAATCGTTTATATAATCAGAGGTAACCAAGTTCAGACTTTTTAATATTTTTAATAAAACAATCAAGATAGAGAGAGTTTAAATTTTCAATTAGCTATTGTAATTTTATATTTTGAATTATTGATAATCATGGATTCCAGAAACTACGCACTTTAAGTTCTGCGCAAACAGTTGAAAGGTAAATTCAATCTTAGATCTTAACCTCCATAGATATCTAACAAAATGATGAGATTGGCTGCTCAGTTGGTCTAGAGGATGAAAGTGACTACTTCAAGTGGAATATAGTTTTTGAAGGTCCTGGTGACACTCTTTATGAGGTAAGACTTCTTACCCTCTCTTCTCTTCCTTACATTTCTGTTTTTAGGGAGGATTTTTCAAGGCAACTCTGAAGTTCCCATCAGACTATCCAAATAGCCCCCCAGAAATGAGATTCGTTACCAAGATGTGGCATCCAAATAGTAACTATATTTTAGGCTTTAATACTTAAATTTAGTCTATCCTGATGGAAAAGTATGCATTTCTATACTCCACCCTCCAGGGACCGATGAATACAACAACCAAGAGACTGCAGATGAAAGATGGAGGCCGATTCTCGGAGTTGAGAGTATTATCCTGTCTGTGATCTCTATGCTAAATGATCCTAATATTAGCTCCCCAGCAAATATCGATGCAGCGGTAGAATACAGGGATAACTACGACTCTTATAAAAAGAAGGTTAGAAAGCTAACGATCCAATCGGTAGAAAGCTTATGAACTTAGCTTAGGAATGCATTAATACTTGCTCAGACGGAGACCTGTATTAAAGTAATAATGTTCAACTTTGGGAGATAAAGGCCCGTAGATATTATTATATCTTCTAAAATAATTAGTTCTTCCCAACTATTTTTTTATACTTCTAATTTATTATACTCGATATATGGGGTTTTGGGGTTTTGGGGTTTTGGGGTTTTGGGG